CACATAAAGTAAGCTAAATATTTAGTCTGAATATTACAGTATTTCTATATTCTGACTTTTAAAATCATGAAGTGATGAGTCTTTTTGGCACAGTTTTAGTTCTTAATTAAAATTCCCTCACTGAATGATAAGATTATCTGGAGCTAGAATATGTATTAGGTACACTCAAAAGTCTTTAATCCGGACGTCCATAATCTGAAATGATCTATAATCCAGACCACAAAGCTACAAACTTTCTGCGCATGCGTAATCGCATAATGTTGTTGGAAAATATGACCTATTGTAACCCTTTTTCTGCATCATCTCTCCTCCTTGAAATAATTCTAACTTTTACATAAGGCTTAGTTCTTATTTTAAGGGGATATAGTAGTTATTTCTACTTCATTTTTCACTGCCACTGTTTGTATTAAGAACAGACTGTTTCAGCCTAATTAAGATGCAAAAACGAAGCTTGATGTTACATCATCTGGAAAGCTGAGTCGTGCCGATAGCTGATTGATTGCCGTGAGATGACGTCATGTCTACTTCAGGTATAAGTATCTTGCGTCGCTCTGGCTTATTCCTTCTGGTTCCTGTTTCTTTGCTCCATGGTGTGCCGTTCCAGCCCCCATTGGAAGACGATATTGCGATGCATGCCAGCCAGCGACTAGTGCCATGATTCTGTTCCGAAAGATGACTTTTTCTGGATCCTGAAAAGCGGCAACAATGTGAGCGACTGCCGTGGACGGCATCCTGTTTTGTTGAAGGCGGCATCTTCAACACAAGTGTTTTTCCAAGCTGTGATTTCTCGTGTGTAACTACAGTGAGCGGCGTTTTGCCGGTTAAAGTGCTCTCGAGGATTTAATTTTAATTTTTCAGGTGCCTTTTTGACCACAAAGCATGGACTTATTGAAAGTGTAGCGAATTTCACTAAAAACGCTTAATTTCTGTTTAGTGATATGTTTTTCGCGGGTTGAATGCCAGTATTTGGAGATCAGGTAAAATATTCTTTAATAGTGTAATATTCTTTTAAAGGAAAAACCCTTGGGGTTAATGGTTTATCAACTAAGTGTAATTTTTGATAATGATTATGTTATACTCCTTAAGTTTCTGATATTGATTAAATTTATTCATTGTGTTTTTATTTTTATATATTGTTAATAAATTAGTTAAGTTTAAAACCTTTGTCTTTAATGTCTGCACAATATATAACCTTATGGAGCTTCTATTGCTACTTCTGCTAAATGTTTTTTTTTACAACTTTAAACTTTGCTTCTGCATCAAATGTGTCTACGCATGCGCGTTAAATGTATAACGGATGGTATAAGCTAAGCTAAAATTATCTACAATCAAAAGTCGTTAATTCGGACTAGTCGGGACTTTGGCGATTCCGGATTATCGATTTTTCCGGATTATAGACCATCAGTTTAAATCTGTTAAGATGGCATGCAGAAATTACAAAATTAAAAATATGAAACCGTAATTTATGAAATAAAGAACAATTATGATCTAAATGGTATCAAAACTTACAAAAAGAAAAAACTTAATATTTATTTGTTTACTTTATTAAACATTTCTTTCAAAAAGTTAAACAAAAACCAAAAGTTGTTTAAAAAAACAAAATTGTTTAAGTTGCTTCGTTTCATGTGATAATACTTTCTCTTTAATTCTATAAACAGACATAATTTCTTGTTTAGTTACAAGTTCCGCAGTTTCAAGTCCTATAATTGCTGTGTCAAGAATACCAACTAATTTGTCAATCGAAATTTTTCCGTTTTCAATAAACCTCTCTGTCACTTTCTTCACTATCGTGAAGCGAATTATAATGACAGTGGAATTTGATTTAAATCATATCAAAAACAGAGTACATCCAGACGAAATACTACATTTAGTAAGGAATTATAAGCCAAATAAAATAAAAACATCTGCCCTGAAGATAAGGATAGTCCTGACAGATCAACTTCCAATTCACTGTGTGCCGCGGCGTCCCCCCCCACCACCGCAGAGCAGCGTGAAATTGATAAACAGATTTCGGAATGGTTAAGAAACAAAGGATAAGCCTTTATCATTTTTTGCAGCAATTTCACTTTTTGTTTAATGGACTTCGAAACATACTTTCGCTTTGTAGATCCTATACATATTAGTAAATATATATCGGAAATTCTATTTGACATAATCGAAAGTTCAAGCTTACTTTTATAAAATTGCTCTAACAGTCTGCAAAAAATAATAAGCCAGATCCAATTCAAAGATTAAGGAACAACGCAATCTGCAACATTAACTGAAATAGATAATTTTAGCTTAGCTTATACCGTCCGTTATACATTAAATGTGCATGCGTAAATGTATTATGTGCATGCGCACACGCATATTCGTAGCCGTAAAGGTCTTATGCGCACACGTAAACGCCTATGCGCATGGCGCATGCGCAGAAAGTTTGTAGCTTTGAGGTCCGGATTATGGGTGTCCGAATTAACGACTTTTGACTGTAATTATCTATTTCAGTTAATGTTGCAGATTGCTTTGTTCCTTCATCTTCTAATTGGACCTGGCTTATTATTTTTTGCAGACCGTTAGAGCAATTTTATAAAAGTAAGCTTTCGATTATGTCAAAAAGAATTTCCGATTCTGGAGCTGCCACAGGATCTACAAAGCAAAAGCATGTTTCGATGTCCATCAAACAAAAAGTGGAATTGCTGCAAAAAATGGATAAAGGCATATCCTTTGTTTCTCTAACCATTCCGAAATCTGTTTATCAATTTCACGCTGCTGTGCAGGGGGGGGGACGTCGCGGCGCGCAATGAACTGGAAGTTAATCTGTCTGCACTATCCTTACCTTCAGGGCAGATGCCTTTATTTTATTCGGCTTATAATTCCTTACTAAACGTAGTATTTCATCTCGATGTACTCCGTCTTTGATATGATTTAAATCAAATTCCTCGTCATTATAAATATCACAAATACACATCAAATAGTTTTCTGGTTGCAATTTTCTAATTTTGACTATGCATGTGCTTTACGCATTGAAAGAAATATTTAATAAGATAAACAAATAAATATTAAGCTTTATTTTTTGTAAATTTTGATACCCTTTAGCTCATAATTGCTCTTTATTTCATAAATTACAGTTTCATATTTTTAATTTTATAATTTCTGCATGCCATTTTACCAGATTTAAACTGATGATCTAAAAGCCAGAAAAACCGATAATCTGGAATCGCCGAAGTCCCGACGAGTCTGGATTAAAGACTTTTGACTGTACTAAAAATGACAATGACCTGCCGACAAATCTCTGCCTCTCTATTGCAACCAGTGTGCAACAGATGGAAAAAAAAGAGTATTGTTCAGTTATCGGACTGGATTCAGATACTGACAAAAGCTAGCAATTCGGCGAACAATTAGAAGCATAAAAATAATCACCAAAATATTTATGATACTGTTAAATTCAAGAAAAATCCAAGAGATCAAATTACAAATTTTTTTAATGTAAATTAAACAACTTGGCCAAAAAAAAAAAAAAAAAAAGGAAATTTAGATTAATATGGAGGCATGAAACTGGAGATATAACTTAAAAGGCCTGAAAACATTTGCATTTTAGGACACTTTTGCCACCACATAAATTCAATTAAATAAGAACCTAATTGTTGTGGTCAGTGCCGTGTTGATGCTTGTTCCGCCATTTTGCACTGCCCCATAACCTTCTAATAGTTTATGTGTAACAACCAGTATTAGGATCGATAAAATTATATCTATGGTTAATGCAGAAATTTTCAAATCTGACCTCCTTCAGTTGTTCAGTGTTACATCCTATCCAACAATCTGAGTATATTGTAGTACCATCAATAATACCTTCTTCAATATTTTTAAGCAAAGTTCGGGCACATCTTCAATAACTTTTAACAAAGTTCCAAGTAATTAGGCATAGCAACTAAAAAACATCCTTTTGTTTCTTGGCAAATCCCGCCGCACACCCACTAGGGCAGAAGGATACGACCAGTATTGAATTTTCGACACGAAAACAGGCTTTCATCAATTTAAGCAATATTGTTAGAGCTGCCTATTTTAACTGACAGTCTAGACGTAAATGTATAACCGCAGACTTTCCTCACATAACTGTTTCAATAAACAACAATGCATTGATTCATATCACGCTGATACCAACAACATTCAAGGGAATTTAATTCTAAGCACCATGCATAAATAAAATGAACTGCCTTTAAAAAACTGATTATAGACACTTGTAACCAATTTTGAGAACATAATCTTTTTTTTTTTTCTTGACACATCATACCTTCACATCTCCATTTTGATGCTCCCTTTGAACTGAAGCATAGCTTCATTATATGGTTTTTCATGCGCTTTCTTTCAGAGTGAATTATTCCTTGTTCCTGAAGAAATTTTATGGCAGATATTTGATCATTACATAAGTCCCAAATTTTTATATCTGTGGTAAATAGAACAGTAATAAAAACAGAAGTGACCATTACATCTTTAGAACTTGTACTCTCATTGCCAAATTTAAAAAGGCATACATTAAAAAAAAAAAAAAAAAAAAAGTTTACTTTTTAAAACTAAATTTTTTTGACTTCATATGAATCAATCTCTTGGCGAGTTTAGCAAAACATTTGGCAACAATTCTGGTCCCAATACCCCCTCCAAAAAAAAAAAAAAAAAAAAAAAGAAAAAAAAAGAAAAGAAACCACTATCTCTCCAATTTTAAGTGTAACGACAAATATACGATAAAATCCTACTAGTCCCCAAATAAAAAATTTTAAATCAGATGAATGTTATTTTTTTCAACAAATTCTCTTTTCCTACTTTGAAGTAACACTGCAAGTAATACCTAAGCAGCATCAACCAAAAGTAAAGAAATAAGTCACCCAATCTATTACCATAATCAAAAAGCAGCAGCTAAAACAATTAATATTAGTAACTTACGTAGCTCTAGGTTTTGGGTAACAAGTATCAATACTCTAAATAAATTACATATTTAAATAAAATTTCATTCATAAAAATGTTACCTATTATATAAAGTTCGTGTTAACCAGCAATGCAATGACTTAGGCTTTAGGTTGAAACCATCATTCAAACATTCTTCTTCTATTCTGTAAGTGTACAGAAAATTATTATTTGAATATTTATTCTATTAGCATCATAAATAACTTGACAACATAAACAGGGTAAATAAGCAAAAATAGCACCTACAAACAAAAAAAGGGGGGCTGAAATACATAAAATAAATGTGAAATTTCAGAAATAATACACTGTGCAATGCCTTATAAACGATAAAACAGAAAAAAAAATGGTAAAAATATATTTATGGCAATTTTTGCAGTAGATTGACACCGAGTTTATGCAATTCTTTGAATTCTTATTTTGGTGTGCGTAGCAGCCGCTATACAAAGCCAAAATAAGAAGTAAAAAAATTGCACAAAATTGGTATCCATGTACATATAAACCTATTTTCACTTAAAAAGAATTAGAGAATTGCACAAACTTGGCATTGCACACTCCCTTGACTTTATCCATATACACATCGACCTATCTTCATTTCAAAAATTATCAGAGAATTGCAAAAACTAGGCATTGAGCACTCCCTTGACTTTGTCCATGCACACATTGAACTATATTCACTTAAAAAGTCAAAGGAGCAGCCAACAAAAAAACACATAATCTCAACAAACTACATTTTAAATCAAACAATGAAATAACATAAAGGAAATTCATCTTTGCACTACACAAATATAAATAAGGTAAGGAAATATCCACTTACCTTATTAACGATCTGCATACTGCCGTCGCCACATAAATTCATAAAATAAGAGTAAAAAATATCTTCTGTAGTGCCGTTCAACTGTACGCATTTCCGATCATTCGACCGTACACATTTCCTTCCTACAAACAGGACACCTAATAATAGCTACTAAGTAAAAACCTTCATTTACACACCAGTTAAATAATGCTCTTTTCTCCTTCCTTTCAAATCGTACAGAAACTTCAAATTAATCTTACTACATTCAACCATTTTACCACCTAAACCACAAAAAAAGCAATATACTTCCTAACCAAGACACACCACAAGCCCTTATGAATTTACCACAATCATGCAACCTATTACGTCATAATATGGTTTCCAAAACTTTCAACTACTCAGGCTACCATAAATGAAATAATAACTTCGTGATAATACCCTTCTCTCTACTCTAACTCATAAAATATTCTAATATTAGGTTGATGCAGAAGAAATTTCTATTCAAAGTATGATAAATTCAATTCAATGAGGGAACAGCAAAAATTATGAGCTATATAGATTTTGATGTTACATGAGAGTTGCAGGCCTCATATTTACAATTTTAGAACCAGCAACTATCATTCATCGGCAGAATCTACAACAAATTCATGTGTACTCAAAAACATGTGATATGCGCCTGTGTTGGCTATGGCATATGCATACTTAAAAAAAATACACCCAAAACATGGCAATTCAACTAAATATTGAGACCTGGGATACAAATAATTAGAAAGCACCAAGAAAAAACTACTGAATGCAGGAATCAGGGCCATATTTATAAGAGTTTAAATCAATTCACAAGCAATTTAATGATAACTACAGCAAGCACTTGATATAGGAACTACACTTAAATGAATTCATTAGTCATTAAGACCCGAGCATGAGGAATGGGTCTGAACAGTAAGTTCCATGGTCATTAACTATTTATCATTAATCCTGCCAAATTAAAAATACAATTGAAGTAGATCAATGAAAAGTAGTATAAAAAGTAATAGAGAAGCTAAATCAGTTGCTCTTACTACTTAAAATTTAATGGCTGGATGAAAAAAAGTTTGATGCGTTATTTTTTAAACTGTTAGTATTATTTGTTGGATGCTGAAACTAGCAAAGTTCAATCAATATATTATGCAAGCAACATTTATTTTATGATTTCTCTACAACACATATCAAAAATATAATTACTTTTACTAATAGATAAAACCCACCTACATTTTAATAAAATGGGAATATTTATATTAAAAGAAATTATGGTTAAAATTTACTCTACGGTACCCCTTGGCGAATCGTCTCTCTTTTGATACCAAGATTGGCACCAGGAAGGATCGGCACAAATCTCAAGATGATGCCAATCCTTCTACCCGCTACACAAAACCAAAATCAAAGACTTACACACACTCAGTGTTCATAAACACATCTACCTAATTTAACTAAAAAATAACCAGATAATTGCACAAACTAGGCATTGCATACTGCCTTAACTTTGTCCATGTACACATTGATCTATTTTCACTTAGACAAAATCAGGAAACTAAAACAAAGTTAAAATTATCACGTTAAGCAGAAAAAATTTTCAGCTGTCTTAACACACAGAGACGAACAAATAACCAAAAATGTCACAAACAGTGAGTAATAAATAACCAAATATACACATTTCCTACCATGAAATCATTAAACAACAAATCTTTTAACAAAATTTAACGCACAGAGACGAATACATAAATGAAACGTCAATTTTTTAACACACCTTTTTTTCACGTGCATACGTTCATGCTTCCGACCACCATCTCCTCTATCCTCCACGTAAGTAATTCAATTAAATTTTGGTCGCTTTGGCTCATCCGCTATTAATCAACATTCATCCTCTTACCCACCTCAGACATACACAAATGATGGCACCCATTGCAAAATAACAGCAAGTTCAAATCCGAGACCATAACACGCACGTCCAAGCAAACACACCAACTGAAAACAAAACCCATGTCCAAATGAAAGGATTACTATTACAAAAAACAGCCAAATTCTAAATTTATTCTGACACATTTGGAGATATTCACAGAAATAACCCCTTTTTAATGACAAAAACAAAAAAAATACAATTTTCCCCAATGCTAGTTTCACCAACATTATCAACGTTAGGGTTACCGGAAAACCTATTTCACGCAGCGGGTTTCCAGATTTCACGAATAGCCAATACCACTTGGCAATTTTTTCACACAGAAACCAAGGGGTACAGTAAAGATCAACCGAAATTACTTGCAGAATAGGAGGGAAAACAATGATAAATTGAAATCTGATACAATGCTTATCATTTATTCCACAGAATTATCCCAAGTTTATTTCATATCTACTAACATGTTGTAAATCACTAATACTATTTAACAATTTTACATTTACTTACACTTGTCGTTCGATCGTTGAAGCTACAAACTGGAAATCGGCAAAGTCACCACCAGCTCCAAGAATTATTTGATCATTAACTTTTAAAACCCTCTGGCAATTAGTGAAACGTGCTAACGATCCATAAGAGCCTAAAGTATCAGCACAAATCATTACACCACCATCAAATGCAATGCCTAACACAGAAGTCCCAGTTACAAGTGGTCTCCTGGGGAGGAAAAATAATAGTCCATATTAAAATTTTTAAATACAACAGAAAAAAGTAATAGGATTTAGTTTCTGAAAAAAGAAAATATACCACTTAAATATAAAGTATCAAAATGCTTAAAAAATAATACCATAATTTAAACATGAGTAATTAAGTAAAATTAGTTACTACAGGGTAAGAATAATTGAAAAAGAATGAAATAACATTACACAGTTGATAAAAATATAGTTTGTCAGAGTAGCAATTAAGTGTTAAATTCTATGTATAAGCAGAGCTATCAAATTTTTTCTCATGTCACTAAGATTAAAAAATTGTCAGTAAGTGACCACCTACCACATAACATACAACCAATAATAATTAAAAATCTTGCTATACACTTTGAAGCAAGCCCATACTGATGGCTGTTTGATTATACTGTTATTACTCTGATAAGACTTTAGCCACACTGGGGGTAAAAAGTCAAAGGATATAATTTCAGGCAATGTTTAATAGCTAATACAAAAATATCAAAGTGTAATTTAGTAGTGCCAAGATAACTGACAGTAATCATGCGACTTTTTTAATAAAGGCATATCATGGATGTATCTAATTTTACTTCAAGAACTGTTATAGAATGTGAAATCTGTAACAGTTCTTAATAGCTGAAAAATCTATAATAGTTCCGATACAGATTGCAAAATCTATCCAGTTCTGGTCTTACCTCTCTAATCTTACCTCAAGAAGCAAAATATTCAAAAAGCCTCAGTGACCAAAACTCATTAAGAAAGTAACAAACTACACTGGTCTTCAAAATTAAGGCATAATGATAGAAATAAAATGTAACTAATACTTAATAAAAAACATTATTAACAGATATTTGTACAAAAGCATTAGTTACCATAAATTACGATAAAAGTAAATTTTAGGGTACCCCTTGGCGAAACTTGCCGATTTTTGGCAGTACATGGATACTGAGTTTGTGCAATTCTTTGACTTATATTTTGGCTTGCATAATGGCGATTTTTGCCACAAAAATCACCGCTACACAAAACCAAAATAACAAGACAAAGAATTGCACAAACTCGGTATCCATGTACACGTCGGCCTATTTCCACTTAAAAAAAATCCAACAATTGCACAAACTTGCATTGTACACTCCCTTCACTTTGTCCATGTACACATTGATATATTTTCACTTATAAAGTCAACGGAGCACCCAATTCTACAATACAGGCAAACAAAAAATACATAATCTCAATAAACTACATTTTAAACCAAACAATAAAATAACATAAAAAGGAAAAACATGTTAATACATTTAAGCATTACAAAAAGCAAATATCCACTTACCCTATTTAGAAGTTTCTTCATCTTTAGTCTGTGGCACACAAAATTCCTCAACAACATCCAAAAACTTCCTAAAATTATCTGAACTAGAATCTGTATATCAGCATCACCACATCTGAATCTTTTTTCCTATAACCCATTCAAATCCATCTAAACGGTTTTTAAGTTCAACTAGACGCATATCCTTCCTATATACAGGACACGAGAGACTTATGATGCCTACTAAGTTAAACCTTCATTTACACACCAGTCAATTAACGCTCTTTTTCCATTTCGTTCCAAATCATACAGATACTTCAAATTAATCTTACTACATTCAGCCATTCTACTGTCTAAAGAATTAAACCAACACACACCACAAAAGCACTTACAAAACATCCCACGATTCAAAATTTTCCAGAATCATGCACTTGATTACGTCACAATAGGATTTCCATAACATTCAACTACTCAGGCTATCATAAATGAAACAATGTCTAATCTTTGGAATATGGTAGCAGGTAGTTTGGCGACATTTTGGTAAGGCGATAAAGGTTACTAGCTAGGACTTTAGCAGTGATGCATAAAGTCAAGAGTGTGCGCAATGTCATTTTTGTGCAATTCTAGGATTTTTTTTAAGTGAAAATAGGTCGACATGTACATGGATGATACCGTGTATGTGCAATTCTTAAAAACGCGGCAAGCAGTGGGCGATTCTGCACTTTCTCCCAATTTCGCACCTAATCTTCGTCATGATTAAGCACTTTTGTTCCATAAAAGTTCTAGCATAAGCGTAATTCAGCTAGCAGATTGCTGGAAAAAAATGTTGATTTAAAAAAAAAAAGATGCCTTTTCTTCGTGAAAACAAAATGGCATCCAAAAACAAACTAGCAGGTTGCTGTAGCAGGGTTGGTCGCCAAGTTACCATAATCCAAAGATTTATCAAAACAACAACTTCGCCATAATACAAGGGGTATATTAAAGTCTACTCTAACCTAAATTACAATGTCTGAATTGATTACTCATAAAATATTGAAAGTAAAACCAAATTTATAGAAACAGGAAAGTGACGGAAAAATTAAGTCGCCTCTTGTGAAAGAAATTTTTCTTCGCCTCGGCCAGATATGCATTCCTCACACTTTGATTTCATAGACTTTACTAAAATATTGATCAAGTCTTTTGAAACTGCATGCCATTCTTGTAAAAGTGCACTTTTCAGCTCCTGAAGGGTCCATGGAGGAATTTTGCACATTGAAATTCAGTGCCCTAGCCTAATTGGGGACCGGGACATTTCACCTCATTATATATATATAAAACAAGAAAATTAACTAGAACTTAAAATAGCTATAAAGTCCCCCTCCCTTTAATCGTCAGACGAAATATCATTCAGTCCATTTTATTCATTTTCTGACAACTCTATGTTCATCATTAAAAGGATATAGCATATCTGAAGAGCCAAAACTTGACAAAAATGCTATTTAAATTTATAATTAGAAAATGTAAAGTCTTTTTTTTTTTTTTTTTAGGAATTTGAATTAATTAACAAAAAATACCATAGACAAGTCCTAAGAACTTAACGAATAGGTTAAAAAGCTTCTTTTGATGCATGCCGCATCGTCTTCATAACATAAGCGCATCTGGTTCTGCCTCTTGTTTTTCATAGTATTACAAATCCAGTTTGGCCAAGTTTGTCCATCGTAATTGCGAAAATTTAGCTGAATTCTACCCTAGAAAGTCATTTTACGAAATATAGATTTTTTTTTTTTGTATTCATGCAATAGATTAATGAAGAAGCTAACATAAAACTGACGGATCTTACACTGTACTGATATTTTGTTTAAAAAAAAGTTCATTGAAGAAGGAAAGGTAAAATAAACTTTCTATTCGATTTGGGGCAAACACCCCATATGCCCCTGCTTTAGCCAGGCTCTGTCCCTAAGGCATCCCACAAATGCTCAATCAGGTTCAAGTCAGGTGAGTAAGGCTGTGTTCAGACTGCGGCGTAAAGGGCATAAAATACGGGAATCTGCTTATCCCAAACTCGCCGTAAAATTTAAAACTTTGAATCCTATGACACGAGCCCTAAACCAGATTTTGTGAAGTAGCACAGACTGGTTTCCTTGGAAACGGAACTTGGCTTTAACCACTTATGCCCTTTACACCCCATCTGAACGAAGCTTGGGGTGGCCAAATCCATTTGAGCGATATCTTCTGCAAATATTGTGACAACACATATGCTCAATCAGACCAAGCATTGTCATTAATCAGAAAAAACTCTGTGCCAACAGAACCCCTAAACAGTCTAACTTGAGGTTCCACTACCTCATACACATACCTCCAAACGGTTACAGAACCGCTTTGAAAGATATACAGCTCGGTATGGCCACTTGTCATGTTTCCTCCCCAAAGTATTAAATGATAATCACGGAAGCGGGACATTTTATGGACAACTGAAGGCAAGTTGTATGTTTCTTCCTCTCTCCAGATCAATACACATCTAGAATCACTGTTCAGACTATATCAGAAATCGTCAGTACACAATACTTGGGCCTAGTTGCCCTGACTCCATTGAACATGATGATGGCTCCAGTTTAAATAGGCTTTTCTGGAAATTGGAATAAGTGAGACTCAAACCATTGGTTTTCTCACATATAGTCCAACCTCATTAAGCCTACATGCAGAAGCAGAATGGCTAATTCAAGTTCCTGTGACAACCTGAAGATCTAAAACCAAATCTCTTGCAGTCACTTTGAGGTTTCTTTGAGCTCACAATGAGAGAAAATGATCTTCTGATGCAGTTGTTGCTCTTGAATGCCCTTTACCAGGCAGTTTATCAACTGATAAAGTGCTTAAAAGGTGTCTCCAAACTCTAGATATGACACTTCGAGGAATATTCAAATTTTTCGGCGACTTCCCCTTGCACTTGACATCCCTCAATTCCACCATTATCTGCCACTTTTGATCTTAACTTAAATGATGCCTTTGATCCATAACTAATTAATACTGATCACTATCAAAAACCAGATTCACTTTAAACAACACTCCAGACCGGAATTCTAACCATTGAGCACCACACTGTCAATCACTGAATTAGCATACTTCCAGCACTAACATATGTGCAAAAGTGCAATTCTGTGTTCAAATGTATTGAATTAACATAAATAATTACAGAATTGGGTATTGGTTGTAACGTTAATTTAATGAGCATATTTTTTCTCATCTTTTAATTTAGTGCACTAATGATAACTAGTGCATTACATAAAATGTATAACACAAGATTGGTTTATCTGATTATCAAAAAGCATGCTAGGGCTATCAGCCTAAGGGAAAATATCCTTTTATGAAGGACTATCTACATTACACAACGGAAAAGCCACAAAAATGCTCATGTAGTCAGCCCTTTCCTGGAATCACTACCAGTGCTCAGCAACTTTACCACTCGCCCACTGGTGGGCCATATAACACATGAACTTATTTATCATCCTAATATAGCCATGTAACAAGGTTTCACGTATAGAAAATTTATAAATTTTTGAAATGTAAGCAAAACTTTTATACCTCTCCTGCCATCAGACAACTCTGCCAATCTTCTAGCAAAATTATATCAAATATACAAAATAGTCCTCTTTTTTTAATTATTCTAGGTGAAATTTATATCACACAAATATAAAGACACATGAAATAAGTTTCTATTAAATGTTCTATGATTTAAGAAAATTTGTGTGTAAAATTAAAAATCACGTTTCAATAAAATATTAGCATAATAATAAAAAAAACTTGCCATATATCTTTTCCTCACAATTTTAATTATTTAATTCATATTTATAAAAAATGTTCATAATCGATTCCTAAATCATTTCACCTACTTTAATATAACAGAAAATTTTAATTCAAATATGCATAGAAAAATTTGAATTCTATCATATAAGCAGAAAGATATCGATTCGTGTTCTAAAACATAAATAAATTACATACGTTGTTCTTTTAAAGGTATCATTAGTAGATGCGAAATTCCATGGGGATGTCGTAGAAAAAGGCATCATATTATCAATATCTTTCACAAAGAGTGAAGATGATGCACTGCCGGTTGCAAAAAAAGCCATGTTGATGTTTTCTGCCTTCTCGATCAGTATTTCGTCTTTTCTTCTGAATAGGTTGCCTGTAAAGGAAAAGAGTTGTAGCGTACTGCTTATTGCTCAGCTTTTCTAAACGAATCTGTCTGATATCTGAGACCCGACGAAGGAGGCTTACCCGGATATTTACCGGCCTCAAGGCAAATACTCTCGACACACGAGTGATATTGACGAATGAAGGGTTATTGTAATGGCTATTTATCGTCGTACGGGTTATTTTTTGTTATCATACTTTTACGTATGTTGTAATTGCATGTGAATGGTTTTGGGGAAAGTTTTTACAAAATATTTTCGACTCTTCTCTTTAGTGTTATGTATAGTAGCAAGAACTTAAGATTATCATTATACATACGCTTGCATTAAAACTAATCAGTCTACTCAAAAAAATGCATTAGATATGATTTTACTCATGCATTATTTCTTCGTACATACACAATAGAAATATATATTTCTGGCATATATGTTATAAATATTTGGAGTGTGCAGTAGTTTTTAAAATGCATGAAATTTATGAAATCAGATTGAAATCTGTGTTATATTTTATTATCTATTAATGGAGAGATACTTATTACTTATTTTATTACTGAATTATGGAGAGATACGTTTTATTATATTACGGTTTTTATTGTCAGTGGAGTAATCTTTGAAATATTATAAAAAATGTATATGGATTGTTTTGCTAAGCAAGTTTTTTTTTTTTTTTTTCCGAACATTACGCTCTGTTAATTCTTTGTTGAATATGTCCACTGTATTATGACAAAGAAACCTGCATTTATTAAAACATATTTCCTAAAAGATTTAAGGAAGGCAATTATTATTCATTTTCTCAAATACTTGTTTTTTATATTACGTAATGAATGTGGAATTTTTAGGATTGCAACCTTTGAAATCAATCAAAAATAAATATTTAGGTCAAAAGAATAGTGTATGTAAAAAAACTTGTCCACATATATTTTCATGTTAACAGAATTTTGTTTTTATATATAATCCAACAATTATGTCAAGAGTTCATCAATGCAGAGATTCTCGTGTTGATTTCTTACAATATTTGTCCTTACAATCGTAAACTGCATATTTGCAAAAAGTACAGATATATTTTCTTTGAAAATAAAAATAAGACTGTTAAGTAGTGTCTTAGATATCAATTGTTTTATCTTTATTTACAAATTAGGGGCGTAATCAGGCAGATTACTGACAAATTTAGATGACTGAAAAACTAAGGAATTTTGAACGCAAGAATATTAGATAATTTAGGATACAGATTTTATTGCTTATTACTACATTTAACTACACTTGTTATTGCAGCTTATGTAAAATTTACTGTTTCTGGTTAAAAAGTTGTTCTTTTTTACATCTTTTCACTTTTATGAAGAAGTTTATGAAAGCAGAATGAAGTATGGAGCAACATTATTTTATATAATGACCTGCAGAAAAGTAGGACCAATTATGATGTAACAGGAAAAACAAGGAACCAACATTTAAGGAAGTGTCTGCAGATATCAATTTTAACAGCTAGGTTATTATCCTAAACATTAGTCAAGGTGTAACAAATTTTTAACTTTTTGACCCATTGGGGCATCCTAAATTATAGACATAGTGATTTTATAGATTCAAATAATGAGATATTAATAAGTGGTCTTCAACCTGTCTCCTATATCTTGCACAACCAGATATTTCACAACCAACTCACTTACATTTTCACACTGCCATCTCCTTTACAGTTTTCCAATGGACTCATTTTTTTTTACACCGAATATACATGTACTTCTATCTACATAATCTATGTATTCATCATATGATTGTTTCTTTATTGATGTTTTATTTCTTAAGAAATTGATATGATTTTAAAAAGGACAACATTTATATTATAACAAAATCATTTAATTAAGGTGACCCTTTTTTTTACAATGAAAAGAGGACAAAAAGCAAACAAAGCAGGACATTTGCGTCTTCACAAAACGTTTTTTAAAGCCTCACACGAACTGTAAAAACGAATAAATACAAATAAATTGTTGTTATTATTACTCTTACATCAATTGGCATGGCAGATGATGCCGTGTTTTATTGCATTTGACAAAATATGTGTATTACAACCTATGCCTAGGTGTTTTTTTTGGAGTAAATCTGGTTAATTTTTATTCATAGACATTATTTACTCCTTTGCATCTTTTCGCCCACCAAAATTTGTATTTGTATTATCTGCTGTTAGTGCAACAACTTTATATTTCAAATTGTTTTCATTTATTACTCTGTATAGATGGTTCACCAAAATTTCAACAGTTTCGCCCTCAATAGACTCTAAATTAAAAATTTTTATGTGAGTGCCCTTGTTAACATTATAATATCTTACTAGTATTGGATACAATTTTGTTTCATTATGATTCAATGCATCAGATAAAACCGTTACAAATGCTGCATTTTTCAAGTCTTCTGCAAGTATATTATCACAATTATTATACTCAGAGTATAATAATTATACAGTGAAAGGAAATTCGTATTTGCATCAGATGCAAATGCGAACTATAATATTATAGACACATTAAAATAAACAAAGTGCCCAAAAATGTGAGGGTGCGAGACAAGTGTGGCTGAGTGATGTTTTGATATGGCCAGAATGTGCTGTCTGTGCATTTTATAATCATGTTTTTCCGAACTGCACCATCACATGACGATTGACATTTCGAAGCAGCATCTTAAACTAATACAGAGATAAACAGATTAGTTGTGAAATATTGAAA